CTAGTGCCACAGCATGGGTATGCTGCGGTGCCCTGATACAGGTACTGGGAATACCTGACCACCTCCTACTGTGTGTTCCATCAGGGTTATGATCCCCGACCAAATGGCCTGTGAACACTCATGAGTACACACATGTATTTGTCTTCTGGCAGAGATCACACACAAGACAGACCACCACAGACTTGCATTTTAAAGTTCCAATTGGATAATGGCTGAGGCGCTCAGAATACATCTTGAGGTCTGAGACCATGTCAGGCCACCTGTGGCCACAGGAAAAGCGTATCCTGGCCACTTTCAAACAAATTTCCCAGATCTGGCTGTAAAAATGAAGCGAAAGATTTCCTTCAGCATTTGCACCAGGATATGTAATAAGTAGATTAATTTGGGGACAATTTCCGTGTTTTAACACGTCAATCCTTCCAGCTCTTCAAAACGGTCAGATCACCCAGTTTTAAAAAGTCTTACAGTGCATTTCCGCACACTTTGGAAACACTGTTTGGGAGCATGAAGCAGGTATGACAAGGGTCATGCTGGATCCTGAAAATCCCAAAAGCCTGTCCAGCACTGATGACACGTGAAGCATGAAAGCCTTCAGAGTCCTGGGAGTGTTTGGAGAGTAGAGCTTCATATATGCCTCTCCAGGAGAGCTGGTCCTGCCTCAGTAGATGGCTGCATATTCTTGTGACTTTTACATTCCCAGTCTGGGAGGGATCTCCCTTGGGATCTTCCCCAGGCGGCATTAAAATGGATGCAGTGACCAGCAAGGCCATAAAAAGCAGTAAGTGGTAGAAGACAGATCCACTTTCCCTGGCAGCACCTGCATATCCAAAATCACATTGTCTGTCCCGCTATCACTCTATTTTTAACAAGCCACCTACACTTGAATTTACTCTTAGCTGTTCCTACTCAACCAAACATTCTTCTGTGTCAGGTAACGGTAAAAGCCTACAAAATGATCTGCTAATGGTTCAACATAAGCATGCCTAATGAGAATGAAGTTGTAAAAAGATACAAAGCTTTCTCATCAGTGGCAGCTGAGAACATGAAATCCAGCAAGTCATTACAGTCATGTTGCTTGTGTTAGTCTTGATAGGCTCAAACCCACTGTCTTCAGAGTGCCCTTTTTGCATTTCTGACCCAAACTGTACAGCCACTGCACCTCCATCAGAGCCGTTGCCCTGCCACATGAGAAATGAAGCTGCTGTCAGACACTGGGTGTCAATATCTAAGGATGAAAGCAGAACAAATTCTTATCAAAAGGGATTTTAGATGGAACAGGAATACAGTCAGGACCACTGCCAAATGCTTCAGCATCTGACACAAGTGCATTTGTCCCATTTACACTAGCAGTGCTCAAACATGCTCTCCATAGACCTATTGTCAGCACAAGTCAGAGGAGGAAAACTGATGGTGATGCCCAGCACGATGACTTAACATCCCAACAGTTCCCAACAGTAAGAAGACAGTAGGTGAGTCTCCATTCCCTTCCCTTTCCCAAATACACTTCTTCCGCAGAAACCAACAGGCAGGTTTTGTATGAAGTGCAGTGTGTCTGTTGTAGAGGTTTTATGGTTCACTGTCCTCTTACTAAAGTATATCCAAAACCGTGAGACATAGATTGATGTGAAGAACCACAGTGAAGTCAGTGTGACTACATGCAAGGACATTATATCATGAACATGTCTATTATTTATAATGAAATTAAGCTGGCCAAGATAATTAATGCTATTAATATCTGCACAATGATGAGCACAGTATGACTAGATAAATAGGTGGAATTACTTCTAATCTGAAATATCCTCCCATTTGACTTGCAGTGTGAACCCAAATATAAAGCGAAAGGATAAACAATTTGGTATGAAGTGTTACTGTTGTTTTTTATTTATCTAATACCTATATATAAGGTGCAGAATAGGCAGAACTACTTGTGCTACAGTCTGGGGTTCATTGACAATACAGTCCAGGCTGCAGCTTGCTGGTAATATTTTAACATGAAAAACTGCTTGGGGGAAAGACAAATTGAGGCAAATTGAGACATTTTCACACCACAGATTTTGCATGTTCTTCCACAGAGCAAAAACATTCAGGCAAACTCTATAGTATCTGGCAGAACCCTGCAACTCAACACACCAGGCTCCATCGCCTTTTACCATGCCTGTTTAATATGACAGTACAGACTCCAACTGAGCACAATAGGGCACAAAAAGAAGAGAAACACTGACTTAAGGGCACAGCTTCATCATGAACTTCAGCCTCTTTTATCGTCATCAACAGAAGGCACAATTTTAACTGAACTCCTAGAGAGGAGGAGGAGGTGGAATTTAATTTGCCTTCCTATGAGAAACAGAGAACAGAACACTTCCACTTGACCTCTTTAACCTACTAATCTCCCAGGACATTCACTGTGTACAACAATACCAAGGCAAATGGATCTATAGATCCACTGTATTTTCTTAAGAGATGGTCACAACAATGGAGGCATTTTTCAGATACATATCTATCTAATTTGTTGAAACAATGGATTTAGGAGGAGTTTACCTAAAAATTCAGTCTATGCAAACCTATTCAGCTGTTTAGCTCAAAAGTATCACACTGACAAAGTTCTGCCTCAGATGAAAATCTGTAAGTATTGCTCTAAGTAATTTTCCATCTTTGCATCTTAGAGTTTCAAATTAAATCATCTTGAAAGGAGCCATTTGTGCTGCTGATTTTTTTTTTAAAGAGGAAACCAAATTCCTATTTAAAGCCACTTAGCCAACATAGAAAATAGGATGTAAATTACACTAGAGAAACTCCATTTTAAAATATTTTAAGGAAAAGATACAAACCCATAGATATCTGAATGATTAAGCCTATAAACACAAATCAATGATCCAATTTTTACTTTCAACATGGGCTAAGCACTGCAGCACATACAGAAGACTCTATAAAAGCATGCACTATTCAACAAACCCTGGAACACACAGCTCACTAAGTATTAAAGAAATGGCCCAAATTTTTTTTTTTAAAGCTTTTGTACTGAATTTATCTTTTTTTTTCCCTAATGTAATTTAAAAAGGTTGAGATCGTAACATCAGGGTAATGTCGTTTGTGTGTGCTTCTTAGAAACCGTTACTGAAGTGGCTCTTGTTTCACAGCCTGTTTATCGTCAAACTTATATTTAGAAGTACATTGTAAGAGCGTGAGCTGCTCCCAGGTTTATTTTTAATTCAAAGATACTGTCACAAACTATGTTTGTGTGTCACAGAATGTGAAAACTAACACTAGATGCCAAGAAAGCTTAAGCACTACCAGTTACCAACAAGCTGATAGCAGTAGGTTGTTAGGTGATTATAGTTGCTGGTAACTTTGAACACAGACATGATTTAAAGTAAAGAATAAAACTATTGAAAAAAAAAATTACATTTATCCCCCGAAGAAAACAAGTTACATTCTAAATCTGAAACAGCATGCTGGGAAACAAAGGCAGGGCTGTACCTAAAAAAGAAGAGTGTGCTGAAAAGAGTATTATTAAGCGATTTACCTTGGCAACAGCTTTGCTTTCAGAATTATTGTTGGAATCCTTAATGCCATTTAATGAATCTCTTCTCTGTGGGCAAGGCTTCTTTTTGCGTGGTCTGCCTTTAAGATTTGGTGCTGAAAATTAATGGAGAACAATTTGAGTACATTGTCTTATACTAGATTTTAAACAGCTGAAAGCATAATAAATAATTCCACTACAATCATCACAGAAATGTACACATCTGTCCACAGTAAATGCTTATTACAAGATTCCTATCCTCCATGAGTTACATCTTGACACACTATATGTTTCTACAGAATATACCTCAAGGCTAATCTATTCTACTCTCACACAGCTAATTAATATAAAGTCAAACACTGGTCTCCGAAGGAATCAGAGCAAAAGCACAAATATTTCTCAGTGGTACAAAAAAGAATAACCCAGCATATTAATAGGTAGTTTTGCATTAATCAGCCTGCTGCTTTTATTATTTCTAATCTTCAAATAATAGTACTAACTAAAATTTCCAGCTTTGGGAAACATCTGGTTTTGGAAATGCTCTGAAATGTTGAATTTCCTTACAGCTCCAAGAAATGTTTATATAGCCTGTCATTCTTGTCAAAGTTCTAAAAAAAGTAAAAAAAAAAAAAAAAAAATTTTAAAATTACCCTTGAGTCCTGAAATGGATCAAAAAAAGCCCCTTAACAACAGTTCTGGAAGTTGACAAGTACTGAAATAAGTGATTGATTGTTTCATAAGGGTTACATACCACACATATAAATTAACATGAATCATTTTCAGCTTTGTCCAATTCTTAAGATAAAACAGTTCTGAAATAACACAGTGACTAAATCCTAACAGCTCTGAGCCATACATAGAATGGGATATGGATCATCATCAAAAATATCAGACTCATCCTTCCATAGTGATATTATAATATAAATTATGTTCACATGTAGAAATAATAGATGAAGCAGATGTTTGCTCATTATTACGTGTCCTGCCTGCTTTCAGATTTAAAAATCAGCCTCAGACTACTATAGCAACACTTAAAATGATAAACAATCACTAACTAATGACTGTACCGAAGAACATAATTTCCTTTAAACCTTTAATTTCTAGGTAACCATTGTTTTCATTACTTAAAGGGATGATTAGAACAATGTCAGAAATCTAAACACCACAAACCTCTTGAGTGCCTTCTAATTGTTTCTAATCTTACATTTGTCACACAGTAAGCCAGTGGTTTCACGACATTTTACATTTTAATTAGTTTGCAAACACAATAAAGGGTGCTAATTTGATCTTATAGTTTGAGTAACAGTGTCATATTTGGTCTGTTCAGAGGAAAAGCCATGGGTTTAAAACCAAAAGAGATGTCCTTTTCCTTCCCCCAGCACTGGCACACGGTAAAAAAATTAAATATATATATATGCATGTGCATATGTGTGTAAATCCATAATTATGTCTATATAAAAATATGTTTATCTCCCTACAGAAATATCTCCATCTATCTCCAGTGAAGCACGTTCTGCTTATTGAAAAGTACGGCAGAAAGCAATTCTTAAATTGTCATCTGAGGCTAACATGCAAAATCAAACAAAGAGAGAGAAAGAAATTATTACCCATTCCAGTCGACAAACATCTGCCTGATTTATATCTGTACTCATGAATGCTATAGCATGTGACTGCACACTATGTCGCTGGAAGTCTTGACTTGGTGTGGATGTCAGCATTACACAAAATGAACACTAAGAGTATTTGCTCCGTGCTTACAAATCCCCTCCCCCAGCCGCTCCATTACTCATATAAACAGAGATGAGCGACTCGGCGGGAGCGTGGGATGAACTCCGAGGACTCCAGAGCCAGCTGCCAGACTGCCAGCCCGAGCCACGCCGCCCTCCTGTATTTATAAACCCAGCTCATCCCTCTGTCTTTGATGTCTTCCTGATGCCTACTTTGTTTTGCACATGACCTGGAGGGGATGGACAGATCCCAAACCATGGTTAGCCCCAGCAGTCACACCTCCCTTAAAAATGAGAAAACAGCAATGTTGACTCAGTTTACTACACTCTGGCACACACATTAAAACGTTAACCTTCGAATGAACGGATCCCCCGGCCCAGTCCAATCAACGGCTGGAGGGGGATGTGGTTCAGCTAGGATCAAATATACTTGCATGTGAATTACTTTTTCTTTCTTCTTAATAAATAAACTAGTTCAAGGCTTAATGTTTTCCAAACATACTTGTTATCCTGAGTTTTGGCACTGTATTCTGTACTTTATATCATACTATAAAGCACTCCTAGTATTTTGCTAAAAGCTTTAAAAGCAAGAAGGCATTTGTTTCTAAATTCCAGGTATATTGAGCCTGCATATAAACACTGTTTGAATTGGAGGGTTCCATGGCAGAACTGGCACAAACCCACTATGAAATGGGGTATTTGTATTCTCCCCGTGGCTCAGGAGCTGCAGCAGGGAAGGTCTGCCTGCAGCACACACGAAGACCATCCTACACATCCCACAGTAAATCACTTTAAGCGATTCCAGCTCAGACACATAATTACCAAGAAAGTTGTAACAGGAATTAATACCAGAAGAGAAGGTCCTTCTCTCTAGTATCTACTCCGTAAACCATTTGAAGAAAAGAAAACATTTGAAATAGTTCCAGTCACACTTGAAACAAAGCCATTAATATTGGCTTCCTAAATCATTATAAATAAATGCATTATTCGAAGATTATTTGTATTTCAGCTATATCCATTTCGTGCTCTTGAGCTAGGAAATATGACTAGGACAGAAGAAATAATTTACATGTCACATACTTGTTTTAATTTTTTTCAGGTTTTGTTTCATTTATGACATACTCATGAGCGCACTGTAGATTTCTTGAATTTGTTATTCATAATTATTTTAAAGCAATTTAAACGTGTTGTGGCTTAGTCCCAGACCGTTTTCCTGATGATACCGGATGTTCAGTATGTACTGGACAGCTAAGTGAATACCACATGGTTTCTTCTGCTTTCTGGTAGAGAAGAATTACTGGTATGACTACCTGAGAATATGTGAAACAATTTAATTCCTTCACGTTTGTGCATATGGCTTTCAAATTCATTTTCTGAAAGCGTTTGTGGCAGTGAGACTGATAACTTGTACATTCCCAGAAGGTGTGAACACAAGCAAAGCAAATTAAAGTAAAAATGGAACAAACACATATAGGAAAAAGTTCGCGTTCATCTGTGACCTCTTTAGTCTAAATGCCTGAAACAGGACTACTAGAGATATGAGTATTAGAGTACCAGTTTAAATACTTGCTTTCCTGTGCATTTGACAAGATGCTTGCTTTTGCCAATTCGCGTGGCTTTTTCCCCTTCCTTTCTTTTTCTTTACTTCCTGACGTATCTGAAAGAGGAGGAAAATCAGCTACTAAAATGTCCGCTGGGACATTTGGTTGCTTGACTGGTTGCTGGGCACTTTTTTTGCCTCTACTTTGGTGTGGTTCAAAGGATTCGTATTAGCACAGCATAGATGCTCTGGATGCTTGAGGTTTGGGATGCAAACCAGAACACCCCCATGCCTGCAATCAGCAGGTGACAATGCAGAGCTGCTGCTGCTCAAGGCAGGCAGGAAAGGAAGGGCTGTCAACAGAGACATACACCTGGTACAATACAAATGGCCTAAATCTCCAAGTTCAGACTTCCAGAAGCAAAAGGATGTTAATTCACTTGAAGCCCACACAAGCCTGTGCCTTGCTGACTCAAGGAGCCTCTTCTCAAGATTATAGCTTATCCCAAGTTTGCTAGTCATCACAAAGGGCAAGTTCATTTGGAAAATGGCAACAACATATAAAAAATTATCTTCCCTGCAAAATCTGTAGGTGCAATAGCTATAGAGCCTAGCAGGGAAAGCCATTTTACCTGCCAACCTGGCAAACATTTCACATATGACCAAGTAAAACACAGCCTGCTGCAAAATGTTCACAGCACAAGCTAAAACTCCTGTTTGGAAAGCTGGAGGAGCACAAGGGCACACTTCCCACCTTGAGCTGGTTACCTTTCTCATATATATCCTCATTGTGCCTGCTACCTTTAAGTTCAAAGAGACAATTTCAGCACTTCTTGGATGCCAGTTCTATATCAGTGTTGATTCCTTGTTTCCCTGAGCAGCAGATCCAGCTGGCGTCATTTAAACCAACCTGTCCCTCAGAGCCCACCAACCTGGCTGTCTCTGCCATGCAACCACCACTGCTTGCAATGCTGCCCAGCATGGCAGAGGATGCTGAGGCTGTAACATGGGGTTTCACAAGGAATTAATCAAGAATCCAAGATGAACAAAGATCTAAAGCAAGCACAAGCATTTGTAACCATAAAGATCAAAAGGTGTGATTATTAACTAATATGCATGTGGTGTGGACTTCATTGTTCAGCTGACTACTACTTGGTGGCAAAAGTCTTGTGCTCCCCATTAGGGAAAGCATGTGAAATGAGTATGTCATGAGTATCATCAGCAGTTACACAAGCCGTGACGACAACTGTATCTTAACAACTCTTCCCATTATGGAATATATCTTACTGCTGTCTTGGTTGTAAATTCTCAAGGAAAAGAAAATTATTTATAGGAATCCATCCAGAGACAAGAATGTTTTCTTCCCCTCCATGTTTGAAAGGGCCACTAGGTGTTGTCTGGAAATAGGTACTCACTGAAAATCACAAAGAGACTGATGCTTGCCATTCAGTATGAGGGATGAGTATTTCTCGGAAGACCACGAAATGTTAACTCATGACTGAGTGGGACACGAGGAAACTGGGGAGGAAAAAAACGGGAACAGCTTGTGCCCATGCCAGTGAAGTGAGAGAGGAAGATGGGGAGCCAGAGAGGGGAGAAGCAGGAGATGTGCCCCCAGCCTGCTCCTCCTGTGCCATGTAGTGGGAGAGGCCACAGCCAGCCACCCATGCTGTGCCAGTCTCCAGTGTGTGATGTTAGTAGGGTGCAGGAGGAGGCAGCCATAATCCTCCTGGCCAGCTGTTCCCTCCCCTGCATGTGGCTCTGGGGTGAAAGGGAGAGAAGGAGTACTGCCCTCAACTTTTTCTGTTTAGGTAGGGGAAGCAACTTCTGCTGGCCTGCAGGAGAGCAAAAGGAGGAGCACTCAGCCATGGTCTTCATGAGTAGGGAGTGAAAGGGAAGGTGAAGTGCAGAAGCAGCCACTGGCACTTCTGTGCAAATCCTCATGTGCACACCTGCCTTTAACAAAACCAAAAGCATTTAGCCCCGGATGTAATGTAACTAACCTCAAAAATCTGAAATTCAGGTTTAATCACCCTTCTTCCTAGATGGAAACTTGTATCTTGCACCCTCCTCTCCCAATTGTGGCTAAGCTCTCAAGTGCCAAAACACCAGCAATGCCCTACATGTGACTACAAACCGTCACACCTGAGAGGTTAAATGCGAACCCTGTGTTACGTGCAGCCCAGAGCCTCTAGATATAGACTGGCAAATCTCTGCTGACTAAAATGTGCCCCATGAAGAAGCTGACCTGGTGATCGCGAAGCCTAAAGCCTGTTCCTAAAAGTTGCCTACAGACCACCACAATTGAACAAGGAGAATCCAAAGGCACTTGCAGCAGATAGTTACAGACCAGGTCTTGGAGATAAGCTCAGTATCAGGTTCTGACCCACAAAGCAAGAGAGACACACAGAAAACAGAGGAGCTCAAGGTTAATGCTGCTCAGACCAGCTAGATGTTTTCTTGAAGCTAGAGGTCTTCTCTGTTCATGAAACCATGAAACAGTAACATTGCTCAAAAATTACATCTTCCCCTCCAGCACTCTCATCAGCCTGTGCACGCATCAGAATACTGTACGTGACTGGGAAAGGGACAGAAAGTGAGGAAGGAGACAGCTATTCAGAAAATTCTAAAGGCCACTGCTCTAATGCTGCTCAACTTTCACCACCCTCAGCTGCTCTGCTTTCAGGGAAGTTGTCTGCTCATCAGGACATGGGAAACAGGAGCATTTCCAAGCCTCACCGCCTAGTACAACTCCCAGCTCTGAGTTAAACCCAATGATGTAAGTTCTACACAGGAGAAAGAGACATACCAAAGAATGGGAGCTGCCGAGGTCAGCCATGATTGAACACTCCATATGACTAAAAAGTGTAGGTGGCCAGAAGAAGACAGCACCTCAACCAGCCACCTTCTCTACCTGTATCCCCAGGAAGGGGAAGTGATTGCTGAACTTACCATCTCCCTGTGATCAAGTCAGCCTCACTTGAGCTATGTCCATGCCAAGAATTCAACGTACTGTGTATACACTGCCACCGCCAGGTGCATAAATAAGTCAAGAGACAATGGTTTTGGTTTTGGGGTACCTCACTTTAGCATGTTAGTTACAGTAGAATTAATTTTTTTTAGGACTCTGATTATCACCGTAAGTCCAATGAGTTCAAAGGTCCCCATAACAGTGTTCTCTAGATGCACATATTTAGGCTGATGTAAAAGATGTGTTGTTATAGGGAGGGTGTTAAAAAAATAGTGGCCTTCATACAGCTGAGGTCAAGCTATGTTGGCACTTTGTCAAAACCAGTGCTGTAGCCAAGTGATTTTAATGAGCCTG